CTCTCTCATAAGATATCTAAAGGAAGTAAAGAAAGGTTACTCCTGCCAAGGACAGCAGGTATCAGACAGGACCTTAGGAAGCCCACACACCTGTAATCTAACATCTGACGTCTACACTGCAGCTACTACAGATCCCACTGTCTAATCTGGAAAGCACAGTGAAGACACGAAGCTCTGTTGGCCATTTCTCACCTTGTGCAGGCAGAAGCTGAGAGCAAGGAGAAAGAACACATGTTGGAACCAAATTCCAAAGCTAGGCCCTTAGGAGCTCTATAGTCTTGGCCGAGCTACACAGTCTCTTTGAACTTCAGTTTCTTCACTTATAAACTAGGGCCCCTAACACCTAGGACTGGGGGTGGCTAAGCACCTAGAATGCAGTGGGTACTCAATAACATTGAATCCTTCTTTGAAATAGTCCGCCAAGAGGCAGGAGATCAGATACCAACATTAAGTTCTGTGGTTTCTTAGGCAAGATCTAGGAAGAGAAGATACAATTTGACTCTCATGGACTTGATTATCTGGTTTGGTTCCAAAAAGTAAACAGCCCACACTCTAGCCATAGACAGCTCCAGGCTATCTGTAGGTTACATGTGAAGACGGTGCTTCACATAGGCTGGGGGAGGGGGGGTGGAGAGGCATCAAGAGGAAGAAGACAGCCCTTCTAACCATAATACCATGATGCTCTGAGATGGTTTCATACACAGATCAGGATGAAGGTGGGTACTAGGTAAATGATAAAATGTCAGTACATAGCAACAGTGGACAGCAATGGGTGAGACAGAAGCCAGGCTTGCTGATGACTCATACAACCTGCACAGGAAAGAGTGAGAGTGTCAAAAGAGGTGGAAAAGATATCTAGGGCTAGATGGAAATTCCTCAAGAGCCATGACAAGCATGTGGGTTTCATTCCCTTGGTGACAGACCCTTCTAGCAGAAAGAACAACGGGGCGCTAAAGGCAATGCATACAAAGAATAAAGTGAAGAGTGTCATTCAGTGTGTTGGTGCAGAACCCCATTTCACAGGTTACTACAGTATGGTTCCATTTGCTGAGAGCCACAACACAGTGGAGACAAGTGTATTGAACGCTCTGGGCAAATGTCTTCACATTGTCAGATATGTGCCCTTGTCCTGACACCTCGCTAGGCAAGGAGGGGATCTGACTAAGTGGCTGAAGTAGATGGGAAAAAATCCACACAACTACTCCTCCTTCTATGTCATGTGATGTTCCACCAAGCTGAGAAGTGCCATCTTGATGTACAGGACACTTGCACTTTGGGACACTTTGTCCTTTGGTCTCTACCTCTATAGAGCTGCAGTGGACAGAAAGTAAGCAAACAGGACATGGAGGCCCAAGTAAACATCTGAGATGGAATGGCCTCATCCCATGCCTTTTACAAAGCCCACAAGTTTCACCAAAGCTTCTCTAATTCAGAGGGCACTTTTCACTTTCCTCCGGCTCTCCCCAGGTGGCAAGAATGAGACCATTTTTAACATTTCAGAGCACAAAGGAACCCTAGAGACCAAGCCTAGACTCTTAATATGAAGAAATGGACGATCCGATCAGAGAAATGCTCCCATTGATGAAAGTTGCTTAAGTCTCTAGGGCTCTAACAGGACCCCAACAGTGTCTGATCCTTACTCAGCTGCACCTCAGCACGACATATGAGTGTAGCTTCACAGATGACATGAACATGGGAGACCGACCAGTTCACTTCTAACCACTCGTCCCCAGCTTTCTCAGAGAAATACGTCTGCTCTGCTACACTCTTTCATTGCCACCCACCCAGACTCTGAAGCCCAGGACTGAACAGGGCTTTTAGCTACTTGGGGTTCTACTTTGAACCCAGACACATTGAGGAAACAGATGTCTGCATGGTGGGGGGAGGGGGAGAAGAAAGGACTATTGCCCCCAACACCCCTTAGAGTGTCTCCAACCTCAGTGAACAGACTTCATAAATATTCATCAACTCATTTGCATAGCAGCCGGCAGAAGAAAACTCACCTTCTCCTAAAGTGTGGAAGGGAAAGGACTCTAATGAGGCCTGTATCCCTGACCCCCAATCCCACGATTTCTTAGCATCTTTCTCTAACTGGACAAATTTCACTTAGGCCCATGAGAAGTCCAAGAAACTACATGGGATCACCACAAGGGTTGGGTGGCTAGCCAGGGAAAGCAAAGCCCAAAGCCAGGCAGTGTTAGTGATGCTTTACAGGGTCACCCTGCCTGTCTCCCCCTTTTCTCACCAAGTTGTGAGTGGGAGAAGAAGAAAATGAAAAGGCCTCTAACTTAAACTCTCTAGGTACCACCTTTCAGAAAAGACTATACCTCCCCATCATCAAGCCAAGCTTTCCTGCCTGGGGCCACCCCCAGACAAAGCCCTTTTCTAGAAAATAAGGGGATTGACATGGCCCTGCAGGAAACCTAAAGCAGGTCGCCATGGCAACCCGAGGCCTTCCCTCCCTAGCCTCTGATAGCCTTGAGACCCCAGGGAGCCACCCCAGGGAGCAAAAGGACTTTCAGAAGGCAGCTGGAACTAGTTCACCTCCAGTCTCGTGGCCTGCCCTCTCCCCTATTCCCTAGCCCAGGTATCTCCCTCAAGCTTTCTGATTAGAAGTGCCACTGTAAACTATGAAAATGGCACAGGCTCTGGAGACAGTAGCCCCCAAGGCCCTGAAATGATGACACTAAAAGCCCTCATGCCTGCTCCTTTAGTCCAGATGAGCTCCTCTCTGCCCTGCTGTATGCCACCTATACTACAGGGAGAGAGCTCCCAGCTGGGACACTTGCCTAGAAAGCTATTCTTGTCCCACCAGGCCTATACTTCCTCCCTCCAACCTTTTCTTCAGGCTCTAGCAGAGAGGTTTAATGGGGGGGGGCAGCTGATCCCCAGCCATGGAAGTATAAATGTGATAGAAGACTCTAGCCACAACTTTGGTTTGGTGACCCCACCACTACCACCCCAGGCCTGCTCTCACCCCAGGATGCTAATACTGATGAGGGACAGACCCCAAGCCAGAACTCAAGTCTGCTCTCATCCCTGCTAGGGTGGGGAGCCCCCAAATTAAAGGCTCTTCTTTCACTCCCCCAGCTCCACCCAGCCCCCGAGGCAGCAGGAGCAGGCCTGGCGTGTCCCAGCAGTGCCCGCCCAGGCGTGGGTGGGCAGGAACAGCAGCTGGGCCCTGGCACACACACAACTCTGTTGGAGGCAGGCAAGCCAGAAGAGTGCTAGAGGAAGTCACTCTCCCCACCTACATGAACTATGCCCGCCTCTTTGTCCCACCTGACCAAAGCTAGTCTCCTGGGGTTTAGTCCACCCCCTGCCTTGCTTTCCCTGGAGTTCCTAAGAGGAAGAGATTCCTGGCCCAGAGAGGAACCAAAGGAGCTACTCAGAGCTGGGAGGGGCAGAGTGCCAGTCGGTGAGTTGGGCTAGGTCACCTGTGCAGGGTGCCCTCAGAGCTAAGCCTAGGAAAGGTAAATGAAGAGGCTGGAACACTACTTACCCTACACAGGCAGGGCCTGAGTCAGACAGCAGATGCAGGCCCGCCTGGGAAGAGAGTAGGGGAGAACCAAGGGGCAGCAGAGGACTGCTTCAAACCCCATTTTGAATTTCTAATCCCTGCAGCAGGATGGCATGGAAAGAATGGCATACAGCACAGCTTTGCCCGATTCAACAAGTCACTGGCTGACCTCAGACAAGTCATTTCCCCTTTCTGGGCATATGCCTCCTTCTCTGGAAAATGGGGCCAATGCCGACTTCCCAGGGCTGTTGGGAGCACCCGATGAGATCATATATGAGAATACATTGTAAGAAGCAAGGTACTACCTGCCTATTACTTAGCATGCCAACAACAGTATCATTTAGAAGGAGCAAGATGAAAATGCTCACACTTCTGGTTGGCTGGCACCCTGACCCCTAACCACCACCACCACCACCACCACCACAAAAACACACCGGGGAGAGGGGACTTTCACAGTCTCAAGATGCTGCTGGAGAGCAGCCCCCACTTAAGATCCCCTTATAACCACAGAGTGATCTGTCCCTCAAGCCTGGTATTCCCAAGGCAACCAGCAGCCTCCTGGTTGGCCCACTGACCCCCTATGTAGCCCTAACCCCAGAAATCAGTGCTACACAGCAAGCAGTATCCAGGGCCCAGCCATCGCCATGCACCCAAGCTGGTAAGGCAACGGACGGCCCCCAAGAGCCCAAGAGAAGAAAGGGAACCCCCCAATTCAGTTCCCATAGAGATTCCTATGAGATTCCTCATAGGTCCTTCTGGCCCTCGCCTAGCTTCCCTGGGTGGGGTCAGGGAACAGGAACCTTTGGGAACTGCTGGGTTCCCAGAACTCTCAGGCTCTCACCTGTGGCCAATCAGACATAAAGTAGAACAGTCAGGTCCCTAGCCACTATGGAAAAGGAGTCCCTTGGGTTGGCCTCCCCAGGACTATGAACTAGAACAGCTGTGAGGGGGCTGGGGCCAATACTTCAGCTTGGAGAAGGCAAGCATGAGTTGGGGTCTGCAGCTGCCCCACCCATGCTGGATGGAGTCAAGGGTCCTGGATGCCAAACTGAGCCCCCTACCCCACCCCCATTGTAGGGAAGGTTTGTAATGTGATCTCAAACACATCCCCACTCCTTAGAGGTGGAGGAACCTGAGTGGGGGGCAGTAGAGGATCAGAATGGGACCCAAAGACTGAACTGCAGCAGCTGGACTTGGCTGAGGACTCAAGTGTGAGGATAACCGGCTGCCCCAAGTTCCCGAGGGGAAGCAGCCGGGGGAGGTGGCTTCCCTGAGACCATTTTGGCCATGCTCCCCAGGCCCCAAACATACTCACTCTGCTTTCCACCCATCCCCAGCGGGATTAAACCCATCTTCTCACCCGGCACTCTTGGGGCAAATCTGCCAGGAGGGGCCCAGGCGGCAGAAGCTGCCATCACCCAGGAACTACCTACCACCCAGACAGCCCCTAGCAGCAGTTCAAGAGACTGGGAGTCTTAAGCAGGCTCTTCCAGCTCCCCAGGGCTGGGGCTGCGTGTGCCCTGGAACCTAGAAGCAGACCCCATCACGTCTTTATTTTGATTTTTTTCCCAAGGAGGAAGCAATTAAGCAGGGTTTATAGGCACTGGGAGATATTTAGAGGGAGGGGTGCCAGCTCCTGACAGGGCTGAGGAGAGGGACCAAAAAGCTAAGAGAGAAAGAGGGGAGGGATAAGAGAAAATGAGCCTGCGAGGGAAAGCACGGGCATGTGCGAGAAACAAAAGGACTTGAGAAAAAGAGGCAGAGAGTGACTAAGAGTGAGAGGGAGTGTGAGAAAGAGGGAGAGCAGGCGAGCCTAGCTGGAGAGGGAGGTGAGCTCCACTCTCACGGGGTATTAGAGGGCAACAATGCCGGCCTGAGAGGGAGAACTCAGGCTGGACATAAGAAAGCAGAAAGACAGACAGTGTTTATTAGAAAAAGCAGTGGCAACCCAAGGGTTGGGTGCGGTGGCACAGGCAGCCCCCAGAGCTGAGGGCAGTGCCTTGGTCCTGTCCTCCTGCCCTGCACCTGGTGCCAACAAACGCAGACATAGACTGCATTCCAGACCCCTGAGTATAGATGAAATGGGGGTGGGGGACCACCAGGATCAGTCCAAACTGTTCCCAGAATCTGCTCAATTACAGAATAAAATCCAGGCAGGTTCTACTGAGGCCAAAGTCAGTCCCATCCCCAGCCCAGAATGCCTGTCCTCAGCTTGAGGTGGACAGGGTGAGAGCCCAGGGGACACAGCCTTCTCAAGCTTGTAAACCGCTCTAGCGCTCTAAAGGCAGAGAACACAGAAAAGAGGGGCGCTCCCATAGATCTGGTTTCTCCCAGCAACCTCAACTCTGCAGGAGGGCTCTTCTCCAGCTGTGGAGTTGCATGGTATCTCAACCCAAGAGAGCAATTAGGTCACTCCCATGAGCCCCTAGGATGGGCTACCCTAGGGGGATTGCAATTCTCTTAGCTAAAGAGCATTTCCAGCCTCCAGTGAAGAACTGGGCACTTCACAAGCTCTCCCATGGGCTTAAGAGCAGCCTAGAGGGGTCTCATGAACAATTGGAGCCCTAGCAGTTAAGGCACAGAGACCAAACTGGCTTCTAAGTAAGGTAGAAATCCTTGCCAGTCCCTTACCTTGTATGGAGACAGAATCCTTCACCCTTACCCCTCCTTTAGCCACCAATGGGTAATGGGACCCTACCTTAACCCAAGGAGAAAACAAGAAGCCCTCTTCTCTCACTTTTGGGATGAGAGATGCAACATCCCTGGGACTCAAGGGATGAAGTCAGGCAAGAACCTAGGAAGTTAGCAGAGAGCCCACAAGAGTGGACAGGAGGAAATTCCAGAAACAGAAACCTGGGAACATGGAAGGAACAGTCACCCTCCACCCCAGTTTTCCACTAACTGTGTTGTCCTCACACTTCCCGGACTGCCAGAAAATGGGAAGAGCGATTATGACCCTGACTTCCAATCTGAGTCCTAGATGCCAAAAGAGAAAAGGGTCCAGAGGTCACAACAGCCAGAAACCACTGAGCCACCGCCCTGAAAGGTGTGTGTTGTTTAGAGATGGGAGGGGGCAGAGTTAGGAAGGGGAAGGAGAAGAAAGAAAAGGACCTCCTTTATATCACTGCCCCCTAAACCATTGGAGAAATCTAAGCAAGTCTCCAGTCTTGTGTGTGTGTGTGTGTGGGGGGACGACTAGGCCCTGCCTGGACAGGAATCACACGTTCCCCACCCACCTCCCTTGCTGGCTCCGCTACCGTTCTCAGCCCTGGCTGGCTCTCGAAGAAGCTCTGCTGCCTAGCTCAATTGGACCCCCGACGGGCGCTGGATGGAACCCCCTCCTCAAACAAACCCTCTTCCACTCCGCCCTTCTCCACCCGCCGCCTTTGTGAGCCTGGAAGCAGCGCCAGCCTTTCTACCTCCCCGGCAGGGAGAAATGGAGGGGGGGGTTGCAAGAAGAGACGGCAAAGAGAAAGACAGGGAGGCAAACAGACAGGGGAAAAAGACAAATGAAAATGGGAGAAGCTGGAGAAGCGATACAGATGCTACCACTCGCCCCGGGCACTAGGTCCCGAGCCGCCCTGACACCTAAGCAAAAGAGGAACCCTATGATGTGGCCTGGTCCCTCGTTCAGGTCGATCTCACCCCTGGAGTGGCTGTGAGTGAAAACCACCACGTTCCCAAGGGCCCCGGAGTGGGCTGCTTACTCGCCCCCACCCAGCTTTCGGGTGCGCTCTCGAGCGCCCAGACGTCCTAATCTGCCTGGTGTGACCATCGCGACTCGATCTGGGACTTGAGGAAGCTAGGGCCGAACCGAAGGGTCACAATCCAGCCAAGTGCTCCCACCCCACCCTTCTGCACCCTGCCCTGGCTGCCCCGCAAGAAAACATTAGAAAAGGC